TAATCTAAAGAAGAAATACCTACAGTAATCAATGAGAATTTATAGAGATGATACTGGATATGGTCAACCAAATGTACAGGAGACACTCAAGAAATTCCAAGACAACAAAAATAGAGAATTTGAAAAGCACAAGAAGAAATAAAGAAACCATAGAAGATAAATAAACACTCAGGAAAAAAAGACAACATTAAAGGGGAAATGACTCAGGATATGGAAAAACCTCAGAAAAAAGAATGAAACAGAATTGCAAAACAAAATGGAAGGCCAATCCAGCAAGAAAAACAAACAGAAGACAGAATCTCAGAACTAAGATGAAATGGTAATTAAAGGAAAAAAAGAAACTATTATTAAACAACTCAAGACCTGTGAAAAGAAAATGCAAGAACTCATGACTCCATCAAAAGACCAAAACCTGAGAATCATGGGCATTGAAGAAGGAGAAGAGGTGCAAGCAAAGGGAATGCATAATATTCAACAAAATAATAACAGAAAATTTCCCAAATCTAGAGAAATCATTCCCATACAGATGCAAGAGCCTCCAGAACACCAAACAGACCAGACCAAAATAGAACCCACAGCATATATCATTAAAACAACAAGTACAGAGACTGAGAAAGAAATTGAAGGCTGTAAGAGAGAAAAAACAAATAACATACAAAGGTAAACCCATCAAAATCACAGCAGACTTCTCAACAGAAACATTAAAAGCAAAGAGCTTGGTGAGATCTGGCACTGAATGAAAATAACTTCAACCCTAGGATACTCTACCCAGCAAAACTATCATTCAAAATAGATGGAGCAATAAAAGTCTTCCATGATAAGCAGAAACTAAAACAATATGACCACAAAGCCACCACTACAAAAGATTCTTCAAGGGATTCTGCACACAGAAAGTGAAACCCAACATAACCATGAAAGGCAGGCAGACCAAACTACAGGAAAAGAAAAAGCAAGAAAAGTAGAGAGTAACCTCAACTTAGGTACACACAATCAAACCTTCAAACAACTAAGACAACTAAATGACAGGAATCACCACATACCTATCAGTACTAACACTTAATGTTAATGGACTTAATTCCCATCAAAAGGCACGTTTTGATGACATGATTAAAAAGAAGATCCAAAATTCCATGATAAGCAGAAACTAAAACAATATGTGACCACAAAGCCACCACTACAAAAGATTCTTCAAGGGATTCTGCACACAGAAAGTGAAACCCAACATAACCATGAAAGGCAGGCAGCACCAAACTACAGGAAAAGAAAAAGCAAGAAAGTAGAGAGTAACCTCAACTTAGGTACACACAATCAAACCTTCAAACAACTAAGACAACTAAATGACAGGAATCACCACATACCTATCAGTACTAACACTTAATGTTAATGGACTTAATTCACCCATCAAAAAGGCACGTTGATGAAATGGATTAAAAAGGAAGATCCAACAATTTGTTGCTTACAGGAGACCCATCTCACCAACAGAAATAAGCATAGGCTTAGGATGAAAGGCTGGAAGATTTACCAAGCCAATGTCCCCAAAACAGGCAGGAGTAGCAATACTTATCTCTGACAAAGTAGACTTCAAACCTACATTGATCAAATGAGATAAAGAAGGACATTCCATACTAATAAAAGGGAAATAGACTAAAAGGAAATAACAATTATCAACGTATATGCACCCAATGTCAATGCACCCAATTTCATCAAACATACCTTGAAGGACCTAAAAGCATGTATTAACTCCAACACAGTGGATGTGGGAGATTTTAATACCCCATTATCTTCAATGGATAGGTCATCGAAACAAAAAAATCAATAAAGAAATCCTAGATCTAAAAATATACAATAGATCAGAATATCAATACTACTCTGTCATGATGTCTACAGAACATTTCATCCAACTTCTACACAATATACATTCTTCTCAGCAGCCCATGGAACCTTCTCCAAATAGATCATATCCTAGGGCACAAAGCAAGCCTCAGCAAATATAAGAAAATAGAAATTATACCATGCATTCTATCTGATCACAATGCAATAAAACTAGAACTCAACAACAAAAGTAAAGACAAAAAACATGCAAACAGCTGGAAACTGAATAACTCATTGCTTAATGAACAATGGGTCATTGATGAAATAAAAAAGGAAATTAAAAAGTTCCTGGAAGACAAAAAAATGAAAACACAACCTACCAGAACCTATGGGACACAGCAAAGGCAGTCCCATAGCCATGAGTGCATATATTAAAAAGACTGAAAGATCCCAAATCAATGACCTAATGATACATCTCAAACTCCTAGAAAAACAAGAACAAGCAAATCCCAAAACAAATAGAAGGAGAGAAATAATAAAAATAAGAGCTGAAATCAATGAAATAGAAACCAAAAAAACCATACAAAGAATAAATGAAACAAAAAGTTGGTTCTTCGAAAAAATAAACAAGATCGACAGAGCCCTGGCAAACCAGACTAATATAAGGAGATAAAAAAACCCAAATTAGTAGAATCAGGAATGCAAAAGGGGAGATAACAACAAACACCATGGAAGTCCAGGAAATCATCACAGACTACTTAGAGAACTGTAATCAACTTGTCTTTGACAAAGGCACTAAAAATATACGATGGAGAAAACACAGCCTCTTCAACAAAAACTGCTGGGAAAACTGGTTAGCAGTCTGCAAAAAACTGAAACTAAATCCATGTATATCACCCTATACCAATATTAACTCAAAATGAATCAAAGATCTTAATATCAGACCCCAAACGCTAAAGTTGGTACAGGAAAGAGCAGGAAATACTCTGGAATTAATAGGTATAGGTAAGAACTTTCTCAATCGAACCACACCAACTAAGAGATAGTATAGATAAATGGGACCTCATAAAACTAAAAAGCTTCTGCTCAACAAAAGAAATGGTCTCTAAACTGAAGAGAACACCCACAGAGTGGGAGAAAATATTTGCCAGCTACACATCAGACAAAGGACTGATAACCAGAATATATAGGGAACTTAAAAGACTAAATTCTCCCAAAATTAATGAACCAATAAAGAAATGGGCAAGTGAACTAAACAGAACTTTCTCAAAAGAAGAAATTCAAATGGCCAAAAAACACATGAAAAAATGCTCACCATCTCTAGCAATAAAGGAAATGCAAATTAAAACCACACTAAGATTCCACCTCACCCTGTTAGAATACCATCATTAGCAACACCACTAACAACAGGTGTTGGCGAGGATTGGGGAAAAAGGAACCCTCTTACACTGCTGGTGGGTGAACTAGTACAACCACTCTGGAAAAAAATTTGGAGGCTACTTAAAAAGCTAAACATTGATCTACCATTTGATCCAGCAATACCACTCTTGGGGATATACCCAAAAGACTGTGACACAGGTTACTCCAGAGGCACCTGCACACCCATGTTTATTGCAGCACTATTCACAATAGCCAAGTTATGGAAACAGCCAAGATGCCCCAACTGACAATGGATTAAGAAAATGTGGTTTATACACAATGGAATTTTATGCAGCCATGAAGAAGAACGAAATGTTATCATTCACTGGTAAATGGATGGAATTGGAGAACATCATTCTGAGTGAGGTTAGCCTGGCCCAAAAAGACCAAAAATCATATGTTCTCCCTCATATGGACATTAGATCAAGGGCAAACACAACAAGGGATTGGACTTTGGCACATGATAAAAGCGAGAGCACACAAGGAGGTATGAGGATAGGTAAGACACCTAAAAAACTAGCTAGCATTTGTTGCCCTCAACGCAGAGAAACTAAAGCAGATACTTTAAAGCAATGAGGCCAATAGGAGAAAGGGACCAGGAACTAGAGAAAAGGTTAGTTCAAGAAGAATTAACCTAGAAGGTAACACACACACACAGGAAATCAATGTGAGTCAATGCCCTGTATAGCTATCCTTATCTCAACTAGCAAAAACCCTTGGTCCTTCCTATTACTGCTTATACTCTCTCTACAACAAAATTAGAGACAAGGGCAAAATAGTTTCTGCTGGGTATTGAGGGGGTAGGGGGCAGAGGGAGGGGTGTGGGGGTGGGGGAAGGAGGAGAAATGACCCAAACATTGTATGCACATATGAATGAAAAAAAAAGGTGAACATGGTTGATGTATTTTCTATACAATAATGAATATAGAATTTTTAAACCTAGTGAAATCACTGTAAGAAGGGGACTAAGGTATAAAGGAGAAAAAGAAAGTAGTTATAATACATATATACATGGAAATGTCACAATGAAACTCCCTGTATATCTATCTTAAACAAACAAAAATGTCTTTTTTTCTTAACAGTGAACAGGAAGGTAAATCAGGTCCTGCCTTGGTGATTGGCCCCGGTGGGAAAGGGGAGGATATAAGGAAAGTGTGTGGTTGGGTGAATATGGTGGAAATATTATGCACTAATGTATGAAAATGGGAAAAATGAGATCTGTTGAAACTATTCCAGGAATGGGGGAGGGAAGATAAAGGAAAATGATGGAGGGAGTGAATCCAACTATGATATATTGTAAGAACTTTTGTAAATGTCACAATGTACCCCCAGTATAACAATAATAAAAAATAAATAAAATAAATAAATCATATGTAAAAAGAAAAAAAAAGAAGCTAGGAGCAGAACAAATTAAACCCAAAGAAGTAGAAGAAAGAATACAGATGAGACCAAAAATCAACTAAATAAGAAAATAGGTAAAAGATAAAAAGTAGAATCTGTGCAAAAAAATAAAAAATTTTTTTTTTTTTAGTGGTTCTGGAGTTTCAACTAAGGCCCTCAAGCTGGCTAGGCAGGCGCTGTACCACTTGAGTCACTCCATCAGCCTTTTTTGTGTGTGGGATATTTTTGAGATAGGGTCTTGCTTTGACCTATTATCTTCCTGACCTCTGCCTCCTGAGAAGCTAGAACTACAGGTGTGATTCTATGAAAAAGATTTTAAAAATTCATAAACATCTCAATAGTTTAACATGAAACAACATAAACCTTACCTTGGCCAACTCTGTAATTTTACCAAAACCAGGCTTCCCAGAGGGAGCTGTGAGTAGACAATCTTAAATCCACTTTGATGAAACTGAGACTCCTCAGGAAAGTCTTCTTCAGAAATACAGCACTCGTTATATCTTGAATCAGTGTTCATGAAGCAGAACCATGGTTCATTGTGATCCATTTTGACTGCATCCTCACTTGACAACAATCTCCATTTCAAACAACTTTCATTCTCACATTGAACCCATACTCTGTTTACATACAGATTGTTTTCCGCTGAGAAGTCCATTGCACTGTTACAATATATTCATATATCTTATGTAATTTTTTTCTTTTTCTATAAATGTATTCAGTCTAAAAAAAAAAGAAAAAGGAAAATAAAAGACTAAGCATCAAGACTATAAAATTCACACCCAATTTAGAGAAAAGCATTTGCCAACATCCTCTAAATCCTGTAGAATATATATGTGGAACACATTATATTTCTATCTACCTAGAAACAAAACGAACAAAATAAACACTCTGAGTTAAAAAAATCCAAAATTAAAATAAGAAAAATATGATGGAACAGAAGAGTAGAGTTTAGCTGATTCCAGTTAACCTTCTATACAATACATATCTGGTAGGTATCTAATATTTTTTGTCAACTGCTGAGCCTTACTGAATGCTGAGTATACATCATGCTTATTATACTTTTTTTTTGATCAGGGTTTTGCTCTATAGCCCAGTCTGGCCTAGAACTCACTATGTAGCCCAGGCTGGTCTCAAACTCTACATCCTTCTGCCTCAGAGTCCCAAGTGCTGGATTTACAGGCAAGGACCACTCCACCAGAGACACTAGATACTATTGTAAATGCCTTATGAATGTGTGCACAGTTCATATAGTCTTCCTAACAACTTTATTATGCCATTTTTACAGGGAAAACTGAAGCTGAGAAAAACAGGTTTTTTTTTAGTAGTCCCAAAGCTAGCATGAGGGAGATCTGGATTTAAATGCACACAGTTCAGTATTAAAATCTGTGATTTTACCCTTAATACCTCTTGAGTAAACATATAGCATGATTCATAAATCACTTTCTTAATTGTCAAGAAAATCAAATGCAGCAAAATATTTCACAATATGAAAACTTACAAATAATTTTAAAAGTTAAAGCAGGAATCTTTTTTGTATATAGTTTTACTTTTGGATATTGTTAATTCACATTTTCTGAGAGCTTTTTTGTTATGAAAGTACATAAACAGTGAAAATTGTGTGACTGAGGTTCCTATATATAGAATCAGTAATAATAATTCTGTGTATACTGATAGCTTAATATAACTAAAATACAGGTAAAAGTAATTACTGGCAACATATTATCCTAAACAAAGGCTGTCTTTCTTAAAGACTCTGGCATACATTTATGAATTAGTAAAACACTACTATCTGAGTGTTATTCAAGTGTTAGCATCATGTAAATAAGCCTTTAATTCATGAGTTAATTATACACTTAGAAATTTATTTATACTTACTTATCATCTACCTTACTTGGGCCACTATGAATTGCTGTAGAAGTATGCCAATATCTGCAATTGCCATAGTTGGTATTTTTCTTTAATTTTTAACAGTGAAATTTTATGGAGTAAATAAACATTTTTACTGTTATTATAAAACTGCCATAAAAATATTTTAGTAATTTATATTTCTACTAAGAGTGTATGAGAGTACTTACTTCTCCCAAATCCTTGCCATGTTAATTCATTAGCTAAATAGTATTTTTCCTATTTCATATATGAAATATCATTTTTATTAGCATATATTATTTATACAGGGAGTTTCACTGTGATAATTCTATATATGCACATAATGCACTTTGACCAATTTCACACCCCCTCCTTACCCTCCCTTCAATCTTTTAAAAATAATTTTAGTGGGGTTCTTTATCCTATATTCATACATGTATATGAAATACTTTGATCATAATTACACCTCCTTCACAGTCTTCTTTCACCTTCCTCTTCCCACTAGTTCCTACTCACATATAGCCCTCCCCCCACCCCATTTTACACTTGTGTTGTTGTTCTTTTTGTTGTATGTTTTGTTTTTTAGATCAGGATTTTGCACATGAGAGAAAACAGTGATATTTGTCTTTCTTAGTCTGGCTTCTTTCATTCAACATGTATATTTCTAGTTCCATTCATTTTCTTCAAAATGACATAATTTCATTTTTCTTTAAGGCAGAATAATACTCCATTATGTATATATACCACATTTTCTTCATACATTCATCAGTTGTTGGACACCTAGGAAGATTCCATAGTTTTGCTATTGTGAATAGTGCTTCTATAAACATGGGTGTGCCAGTCCCTCTATTGTTTGATGACTTAAATTCCTTTGGATATGTCACCAAGGAATGATCTAGCAGGATCACCTGATAGTTCTGTTTTTAGTGTTTTGAGGGACCTCCATACACATTTCCATAGTGGTTACAGTAATTTACATTCACACCAACAGTGTATAAGGCTTCATTTTTCCCTATACCTTTGCCAACATTGGTTATTTATTTTATTCATGATAGATATTCTGATTGGGGTGAGAGGGAACCTCAGTGTAGTTTTGATTTGCAATGTCTTTATGGCTAAGGATGTTGAACATTTTATGAATTTATTGACCATTTGTACTTCTACTTAGAACTCTCTGTTCAATTTTTTTGCTCATTTATTAATTTAGTGTTGAAGGTATGGCTTATTAGCCAGGCATTTGCCCATGTGTTCACAACACCGGGACTGACTAATCCACTCATGCTCAGATCAAGAAAAACTAGTTAGAATCTCTTGTAGAAGGGTTGGTTGTCCGCTTTTAGGCTATATTCACTGTAGAAACTTCCCTTCTTTGTGTACTGGAAGCTGCTGCTGGCTACAGCGAGTCTTATAGCCTGTGGGCCTGTCGCTTTGAAAACACAAACAGGATTGATAAACCGTTAGCCAAACAAAAAGAAAGAGGGAGGAGATCTAATAATAAAGTTAGAGATGAAAAAGGAATACCAATTAAATTCAGAAAATCATTAGGTTATTATATTCCAATAAGTTGGAAAATTTACAAGAAATGGATAAATTTTTAGATACATAGGACCTACTGAAATTAAACCAAGAAGATATTACAAAAAATATAAAACTTAAACTGATCTATAATGAACAATGAGACCAAAATAGGAATAAAGCCTTCCAACAAAGAAAAGCCCAAGATTGGAAGGATTGGTTTCACTGTTGAATTCTACCAGAACTTTAAAGAATTAACACCAATGCTTTTCAAACTATTACACAAAATACAAAAGGAAGCAATGCTATCAAACTCATTATATGAATTTAGTAACATACGATACAAAAACCGGAAAGGACACACACAAAAAGAAAACTACAGAACAATTTCTTTGAAGATGTAAAGATGTAAAGAATTCTCAATGAAATACCTGCGAAGTGAATTTAACACCAAATTGTAAAGATCATAAGCCATGGTCAAGTGGGTATCATTCATTCCAGGGATGCAGAGTTGGTTCAATATGTTCAAATCAGTAATTGTAACACTCAAATAAATAGAATCAGCAACAAAAATCACATGATCACTTCAACAAATGTAGAAAGATACTTTGAGAGAATTTAATATTTCTTTGTGATAAAACCTCTGAAGAAAGTAGGAATAGCAGGAACATACCTGAACATAATAATGGTTGTGTATTATGAACCTATACCCAATATTGTCCTAAATGCAGATAAACTGAAAGCATTTCCTCAAAGTCAGGAATGGAACAAGGGTGACCACTCTGTCAATTCTTACTCAACATAGTGCTTGAATTCTTAGCTAGAGCAAAAGGAAAAGAAAGAAACATTATACAAATAGGAAAGGAAAAAATTAAATTATTTCTATTTGCAGATGATTTGATCCTATATTTAAGCATCTGGCACACAGGGCTAGAGGAGTGGCTCAAATGGTGGAACACCCGTTTAGCAAGCATGAGCCCCTAAGTTCAAAACCCCAGTACCACAAAAAAAAAAATAAATAAATTCACTTCATCTGGTATACAGGTGCACACAATCAGCAAGATATTACCAGTGGGGGAAAAAATCCTCTTAGGTAAAAATCCAACAAATATAAGAAGTCAAAGAAATCACACAAAAAGAAGCAGGATAAAAAGGTCTCTCTCACACACAAAATAAATTGAAGAAAAACAGAAAGAAAAGATACAACAAAAGATTCAAGCTAGTTCTCAGAAGAAACTGAGGATTCTGTACTAGGAAAAGAAAGCAATTAAGTATAAGGAAACATTCAGGAAAAGTTCTCTCAAAAATTTTGCTTTAATCTTAGGGGCAGAAAGTGACACTTCATAGTCAGATGATTCATCTTCTAGTAGTCCTACAGAAAGTGAGGAAAAAGACAATAAAAACCCAGGGGAAGAAAAGAGACAAAAGCATTCATTTTACTGTAGCTAACAATGAATATAGAAGAGGACAAACAAATGCACAAATTGGAAAGTCGCTACAGATGAAAGGTCTACTGAGAGTTCAAAAAATGACTAAATGAGAAAGAGACATTCTTGTTTCCCACTTGATTCTGGATATTTATAGCTCCTATAACTTGGGGTTTTGTCAGTGACTCCTTCATTCAGCACAGGCGATATGAAGTCAGAGTTGTCTTGTGTCCTCTGTATTTATTTTGACAGACTACTTATCTTCTATTTTGGCTTGTTAAACTTGATTTCCTTTTCTTGTCAACAGAAACCTGTCACTGTGGCATAAAGGTTTCTTGAAGAGATTACTGTTTATAATTAATCACATTTAGGATAGAGTGCTAATATAGCAAGTAAAAGGACCCAGGAAACTAGAAGAAAAAAAAAGATACTGGAGACTATGACTCTAACAGAAAAACACTCAGATTTGATAAACATTTTCACCAAAGTAGCAGGAAACAAAACCAATACACAAAAATCAGTAGCTGAGAGTTTTCTGTTAGTCATAGTCTCCAGAGTCTTTTTTAGCTTTTCTATGAACCAACAATCCCATTCACAAATACATAGGAATAAAACTAACCAAGGAGGTTGAAGACCTCTACAGTAGAAACTGAAATACGGAAGAAAGAAATTGAAGAAGACTTTAGAGGAAGTTCATGGATTAGAAGCTTAACCTTGGGAAAATGACTGTATTACCAGAAGAGATCCACAGAATCAGTACAATCCAACTCAAAATTCCAGTGACATTCTTCATAGACATAGAAAAACATAATCATAAAATTAATATGGAAACACAAAAGATCCTGAATAGTCAAAGCAATCCTGAACAAAAAGAGCAATTCTAGAG